CTATAGATTGCTTTTGGTAAGATTGCCATTTTTACTATGTTAATCCTGCCTATCCATGAGCATGGGAGATCTTTCCATTTTCTGACATCTTCAATTTATTTTTTCAGGGACTTAAAGTTCTTGTCATACAGGTCCTTCACTTGCTTAGTTAGAGTTACCCCCAAGGTATTTTGTATCATTTGTGGCTATTGTAAAAGGTGATGTATCTCTGATTTCCTTCTCAACCTGTTTGTCAATTGTATATAGGAGGGCTACTGATTTTTTTGAGTTGATCTTGTATTTTGCTACGTTGCTGAAGGTGTTTATGAGCTGTATGAGTTCCGTGGTCGAATTTTTGGGGTCACTTATGTGTGACACTATCATGTCATCTGCAAATAGCAAAAGCTTGACTTTTTCCTTTCTAATTTGTATCCCCTTGATCTCCTTATGTTGTCTTATTGCTCTGGCTAGAACTTCAAGTACTATATTGAATAAGTATGGGGAGAGCAGACAGCCTTGCCTTGTTCCTGATTTTAGTGGAATCACTTTGAGTTTCTCTCCATTTACTTTGATGCTGGCTGTTGGCTTGCTGTAAATTGCCTTTATTATGTTTAGGTATGTTCCCTGTATTCCTGATCGCTTCAAGACCTTTCTCTTGAAGGGGTGTTGGATTTTGTCAAATGCCTTTTCAGCATCTAGTGAGATGATCATGTGTTTTTTTTCTTTCAATTTGTTTATATGGTGCATTACATTGACAGACTTTCATATGTTGAACCACCCTTGCATCCCTGGGATGAAGCCTACTTGAACATGGTGGATAATTGTTTTGATGTGTTCTTGGAGTCTGTTTGCCAGTATTTTATTATTTTTGCATTAATGTTCATGATGGAGATTGGTCTGTAGTTTTCTTTCTTTGTTGCATCTTTCTTTGGCTTGGGAATCAGGGTAATTGTAGCCTCACAGAAGGAGTTTGGTAATGTTCTTTCTGTTTCTATTGTGTGGAACAATTTAAAGAATATTGGTATTAACTCTTCTTTGAATATCTGGTAGAATTCTGCGCTGAAACCATCTGGTCCTGGACTTTTTTTTTGTTGGGAAACTTTTAATGACTGATTCCTTAGGGGTTATTGGACTATTTAAATAGTTTATCTGCTCTTGATTTAGCTTAGGTATGTGGTGCCTATCCAGAAAATTATCCATTTCTTTTAGATTTTCCAGTTTTGTGGAGTAGAGGTTTTTGAAGTATGACCTGATGATTCTCTGGATTTCCTCATTGTCTGTTGTTAGGTCCCCCTTTTCATTTCTGATTTTGTTAATTTGGATGCTCTCTCTCTGTCTTTTGGGTAGTTTGGATAAGGGCTTGTCTATCTTGTTGATTTTCTCAAAGAACCAACTCTTTGTTTCATTAATTCTTTGTATTGTTCTCTTTGTTTCTATTTTATTGATTTCAGCTCTCACTTTGATTATTTCCTGGCGTCTATTCCTCCTGGGTGACTTTGCTTCTTGTTGTTCTAGAGCTTTCAGGTGTGCTATTAAGTCACTAGTGTGAGATTTCTCCAACTTCTTTATGTGGGCATTTAGTGCTATGAATTTCCCTCTTAGCACTGCTTTCATAGTGTCCCATAAGTTTGGGTATGTTGTATATTCATTTTCATTGGTCTCTAGGAAGTCTTTAATTTCTTTCTTTATTTCTTCCTTGACCCATTGGTGATTCAGTTGAGCATTATTCAGTAGGCTTTCTGTAGTTTTTGTTGTTGTTGAAATCTAACTTTAGACCATGGTGGTCTGATAGAACATAGGAGGTTATTCCAATTGTTTTGTATCTGTTGAGATTTGCTTTGTGACCAAGTATGTGGTCGATTTTAGAGAAGGTTCCATGGGGTGCTGAGAAGAAGGTATAATCTTTTTTGTTAGGATGGAATGTTCTGTAGATATCAATTAAGTCCATTTGAGTCATAACATCAGTTAAGTCCTTTATTTCTCTGTTAAGTTTCATTTTGGGAGATCTGTCTAGTGGTGAGAGTGGGGTGTTGAAGTCTCCCACTATTAATGTGTGGGGTTTTATATGTGATTTAAGCTTTAGTAATGTTTCTTTTAATGTGAGTGCCCTGTGTTTGGGGCATAAGTGTTCAGAATTGAAACTTCATCTTGGTGGATCTTTCCTGTGATTAGTATGTAATGCCCTTCTTGATCTCTTTTGATTGATTTTAGTTTGAAGTCTATTTTGTTGGATATTAGGATGGCTACACTAGCTTGATTCTTAAGACCATTTGATTGGAAAGACTTTTCCCAGCCTTTTATTCTTAGGTAGTGTCTATCTTTGAATTTGAGGTGTGTTTCTTGTATGCAGCAGAAAGATGGGTCCTGCTTTCCTATCCATTCTGTTAGCCTGTGTCTTTTTATAGGTGAATTAAGTCCATTGATATTAAGGGATATTAATGACCAGTGATTGTTCATTCCTGTTATCTTTTGGTGGTAGTGTGTGTGTACTTCTCTTCTTTGGGGTTTACTGCTGTGGTGTTATCTATTGCCTATGTTTTTGTGGGTGTATCTGACTTCCTTAAGTTGGAATTTTCCTTCTAGTGTTTTCTGTAGGGCTGGGTTTGTGGATAAGTATTGTTTAAATCTGGCTTTGTCTTGGAATGTCTTGTTCACTCCGTCTATGATGATTGAAAGTTTTGCTGGGTATATTAGTCTAGGCTGGCATCCATGGTATCTTAGTGTCTGCATTACATCTGTCCAGGTCCTTCTGGCTTTCAAAGTCTCCATTGAGAAATTGGGTGTTATTCTGATGGGTTTGCCTTTATAAGTCACTTGGCCTTTTTCCTTTGCTGCTCTTAATATTCTTTCTTTATTCTGTACATTTAGTTGTTTAATTATTATGTGGCAAGGGGACTTTTTTGGGGGGATCTAGTCTGTTTGGTGTTCTATAGGCTTCTTGTATCTTCATGGGCATTTCCTTCTTTAAGTTGGGAAAGTTTTCTTCTATGATCTTGTTGAATATATATTCTGTGCCTTTGAGTTGATATTCTTCTCCTTCCTCTATCCCTATTATTCTTAGGTTTGTTCATTTCATGGTGTCCCAGAGTTCTTGGACATTTTGTGTTATAATTTTTTTTGGCATTAGTATTTTCTTTGACGACGAATCTATTTCCTCTATTGTATCCTCTACACCAGAGATCCTCTCTTCCCTCTCTTGTATTCTGGTGGTTATGCTTGCATCTGTGTTTCCTGTTCATTTACTCAGATTTTCTATTTCCAGCATTCCCTCTGTTTGTGTCATCTTCATTGTTTCTATTTCCCTTTTCAGGTCTTGCACTGTTTCCCTCACCTGTTTCATTGCTTTTTCATGATTTTCTTTAAGGGATTTATTGTTTTCTTCTGCCTTATTTTATTTGTCTTTTCCTCTAGTTCTTTATAGATTTCTTCCCATTTTTTTGTTTGACTTTTCATTTTCTTTATCAATAAAGAAAATTATCCTCCACTTTTTTGTTTATCTTTTCCTCAATTTCATTTTTCATTTTTTCTTTAAAGGCCTCTAGCATCTTCATGATGCTATTCTTAAGGCTGCTTTCTTCTGCTTCTTCCACTTTGTGATGTTCAGGTCTTGCTGTTGGAGTAGGGCTAGGATCTGGTGATGCTGTATTGCTCTTTATGTTGTTGCATGTACTTCTGCCTTGACTTCTGCCCATCCCCCATCTATTAGGTATAAGAGGTGCCTGTGTCTGAGCGAGTTGCTGTTGGTCCACTGTGTGTTTGTTGTGTTTGTGTCTCAGGGGGCCCTTCTGGGTCTAATCTTAGCTCTTGGTCTGATTGGAGCAGGCAGCTTCTGTGTCTCAGCGAGCTGCTCTTGGTCAACTCAAGCTAGTTGATTCTGTGACTCACGGATTCGTTCTTGGTCTTATCATGGCTCTTGGTCCAGTCAGAGCTGACAGATTCTGCGGTTCAGGAAGCCTCTCTTGGTCCAATGAGAGGTGGTAGATTCTACTTCTCAGAAAGCCACTCTTGGTCTAATCAGGGCTGGCAGATTCCCTATCTCCTGAGTTTACTCTTGGTCCAATGATGGCTCTTTGTCCAATGAGAGCTCTCTCTTTTTCTGGGCTGGATGGGAGCTCTCTGGGCTGGATGGGAGCTCTCTGGACCGGATGGTAGCTGGGGGTTGGTCTCCAAGTCTCAGGAAGTGGTAGGGTCTCGGGCGGATGGGTATGGGGGCAGGGTGTGTAGATTGCAGGGTCTGCTGGGGGGGTCTTAGAGAAGGGGAACCTTCCAGCAGGAGCCCTGCCCGCTGGCTGGCAACTGGGGCCGAATTTGCCAGTCCTCCCCAGGAATGGCTTGGGGCCCAGGGATGGGACCTAGGGCAAGCCTCCCTGGATATCAGATATGGCATTTTAATGTGTCTGTAATCACAGCATCAGGGAGGTAGAAGAAGGAGGACCATGAGTTTGAGATTAGCGTGTTTGCATAGTCAGTTCTAGATCAGCATGTGTTATATAGTGAGACACTGTCATGAAAGACAGACAGACAGATAGACAGGCAGACAGACAGAGAGGGAGACTCTATTTATCACATTCACCAGATATAATTAGAGAATCAGTATAAACCCTTACATTCTGGCATGATAACATTTGGTTGTTATGATTATGAAAGCATTCTGGAAGAATGGGTGTCAGTGGTTCTTTGACATGCATCTCTTGTACTCTTGCGGGGCAGGACTGTGCCTCGATTCATGACAGTTTATTCAGACCTCTGCCAGCACTCTGTCAGGCCTGCATGTATTCATTTTCTTGTCTGAGCTCTTTCTACCTCCACACATACTCTCAAGATGCACAGAGCTTGATGCACAGCTATCTCTAGCCAGCAATTCATTCCATCTCAAAGTGACTTGCTTAGCGTGGGCAGGTCCACAAGAGCAAGAAGCTTTGATGGCCAGCTTACAGCTATTTAGTTGAACAGTGCTGTGAGGATCCGAATTGAGTATTTAGTTGGTCTGACATTTATATCTCCCCCTCTGTTCCTTACAGACGTCTGGATTTCATTAATGTATTGTCTTATGACTTACATGGAAGTTGGGAAAAGTTTACAGGACACAACAGTCCTCTGTTCTCCCTTCCTGATGACTCCAAATCTTCGGTGAGGAAAGGAAAGGTCTCAGGTGGTCCAAATTTCCATCCTTGAGCCCAGGCAATTGGTGATGTTGTCTTCTTTCCACTTACAGGCCTATGCTATGGATTACTGGAGAAAACTTGGGGCACCTGCAGATAAACTTATCATGGGCTTCCCCGCCTATGGACGTACCTTTCAACTCCTCGAGGAATCTAAGAATGGATTGCAGGCTGCCTCAACGGGACCAGCATCTCCTGGGTATTACACCAAGCAGGCTGGCTTCCTGGCTTACTATGAGGTGATGGGATTAGAGACCTCTGTCTAGTAGCTGGGGCTCTTCCCTCACACTGGAGCAAGGGTTAGTGCCAGAGCCATGGTAGGTGAGAGCTAGAGACAGGCCAAAGAGACAGTGTTTTTTTTTTTTTTTTTTTTCCGGATAAGGAGATTCACTGAAATATTTTTCCTTTGGGGTTGTGGAGTCCTTTGTGAGGGATAAGAGGCCACGGAGAACATAAATGGAAAGGAAAAAAAGTAAAGAATCTTAAATGTTACATAGGTAATTCAGACTTGGTCAATGGCCTAAAAAAATGCTGGCCTTTTAGTGCGCGCGCACACACACACACACACACACACACACACACACACACACACACACACACGAGAATCTTAGGGGTAAGTAGAGGACAGATGCAGAGGTATAGCCCTCCCTTAGGGAAGAATGGAGATGCTGCATGTGCCTCTAAGCTCTGCTCTCTGTTGGTTCATTGGAGATATTTTCCAGCTGATCTCATGAAACATGATTGTGCATCATGTCATAGTTGAAAGAACATTTTTTTAAGGGCATAATAGATTACAGAAACTTCAACACACAAAACCTTTAAAGTACAACCAACCAACCAAACAACCAGCCAAACAACTTAACCAACCAACAAAAAACACATCAACAACCAAAAAAAAAAAAAAAAAGAAAAAAAAGAGAACCTCACAAAGCATGACTTAGATGTTAACTTCTGCAGTACAACTTGAACACCTATATGCCTCTGCAATATTCAGTTTCTAGCACAATGCTGGGCTTGAAATGGGTACTCAAGAGCGTGGTGGATTGTAACAAGTTCACACTGCCTTCAAGACCTTTAGAGGTACTAGAAGTTCAGGTGCTAGTTGGATAGCTACCTAGATGGTTCTGAGCTCTAATAAACACAAGAGAGGTGTGTTTATGAAGACAACAAACAGATTTAGTCCTGGTCACATTTGTGGTGCTGGTGTTATTTACCAAACCCTGACTTTGTTTCTGGTGAATGTCAATCACTTTTCTCTCTCTCTCTCTCTCTCTCTCTCTCTCTCTCTCTCTCTCTCTCTCTCTCTCTCTCTCTCTCTCTCTTTTGTAAACCATAGACGCTAGAGGAAGGCCATGTAACAGAAGGGGCATAGTATGCAGAGACAGTCCTCTGTGAACAGTTTTCTCACTCCCTCTTTGGTTTGTCATCTCAGGCCCTGGTGAGATGGACCTTTTCCTGGACCTTTCTCCTGAGACAAGAATCAACTGAGTCTTCTGTACTTCTCTTCAAGGCATTTCATGGAACTTACATGTGTTCTCCTGGCAGGTTTGTTCCTTTATCCAGAGAGCAGAACAGCGCTGGATTGATTATCAGTATGTCCCATATGCCTATAAGGGGAAGGAGTGGGTTGCCTACGATGACACCATCAGCTTCACTTACAAGGTGAGACACTTGCTCTTTCCTGTTCCAGTACTCAGGTTCTCATTAGCTTAGATGGGACTCTCCTTAATACTGCGTGTGTATACGCATGAGCATATATATACAGACATGGTTCATATTACACTAAGCATCCATGAATATTCCTGATAGGTGGCAGGGATGAGGTGACCTTGACTGCTTTAAATACCTTGCAAAATATGTGGAATCATATAGATTTTATCATTTTTCTTTTGTCTGATTATTTTACTTAGCATAGTATCTTCCAAAACTCATTCATGTTGTAGTTTGTAGGCATTCTTTTGGCCCTAAAATATTGGAATGTTATTTTTCTTGAATGCGGTGATCAAGGAAGATAAGAGTCATATAAAAATGTTCAGATTACACTAATGAGCAATAGAGGCTAGAGTCCAATGCAGATGATTATCATAAACGCCCTCCTCCATTGCCTTCTACAGGTTTGCTCATCTTTGTTGTCTTCCCTCTATCCAGACTGGAGGGTGGTTAGAAACTGACTGTTGCTTTTGCAGGCAACATTCGTGAAAAGAGAACATTTTGGGGGTGCCATGGTGTGGACACTGGATATGGACGATGCCAGGGGCCTTTTCTGTGGCAATGGCCCTTTCCCCCTTGTCCATATATTGAATGAGCTCTTGGTGCAGGCAGGTGAGTAACCGGGACCTGGGAGCCAGGGTTGTGAGTGGCAGACCACCAGACACTGGTGGGTCCATTCTGCTGGGTCTAACTTCTTTGACTTGACATTGAATGAAGAGAGCAAACTTCACTGTCAGCCAAATTTGACCTGTTTGAGCTTCCTTTGCCTCATCTGAAAGTGAAATCGTTCTAGATGCAGGACATTATGAAGAATAAATGAGATATTGAATGAACAGCATACTTTTTCATAGTTAACATTAATTTCTGTTTTTTCCTTCTCATATCTTGGGCAAGGGACTAGAGAAGGTGCACACACACACACACACACACACACACACACACACACGCACGCGTTGTGTTGATATTAGCGGCTACACTGGCAGTTAGGAAATCGTATGTAAGAGTTGAATTCCCTTAGAGATTCAGGACTGGAGCTCAGCCAGGCCAAGCACTTATGTGAGCTCTAATCTAATGGCTTACCACTTACTGTCTAGAGTCTCCAGGCCTCAGCTTTGTTTCTGACACCTCCTCCAGTATGGCATACTGACAGCTTCTTTTCCTTGAACAATAGGTCTGGCTAGAGGTACCCAGGGAGGTTAAAGTGAGGGTTTAAACATGGGGACCTAAGAGCCTTCCTTGAATTAGTCACCAGAAACGCAGCAAATCCACAGATGGCCCTCAGTTTGGGTCTATGCTAACACCTTAGGGTAAGGGAACAGAGCTTCAGTGTGGTGGGATTTTTATCTTCTTTCTCTGGGGAGTAAATCATGAAATCCTTCACTGCTGGATTTTTGGATCAAATTCTTCAGCTTTGGAGTGGCTTTAGCATTGCTGAGAATTAATAAGAAAGGAAAGAAGAGGTAGAAACCTTACTATTTTTTTTCTGATGATTTTTTTCTCCAGAGTTCAATCCAACTCCTTTGCCACAATTTTGGTTTACATCGCCTGTGAATTCCTCAAGACCTGGCTCTGAGAGTCTGCCTGTGACAGAGGGGTTCCCCACTGATACTGTAAAGATTTTGTCCCCAGGAGAAGCTATGGCCACTGAAGTCCACAGAAATGAAAATGTAACTACAGTCCCTAATGGTGGATTCGTGACCCCTGAGGGAACAACGTCTCCTGCAACACATGTGGTAGCTCTAGAAAGTAGCACTGTGGCTCCTGAGGCAAAAATCACAACCTCACTGGACCTTCCATCTGAGACCACTACTGGGAAGACAGTGACAGCCCAGACACAGACAACTAGGGAAGAGACCATGGCCACAGTGGGTAGTCAGTCTGTGACCCCTGGGGCGGAGACCACAGACACAGTGGGTAATCAGTCTGTGATCCCTGGGGTGGAGACCACGGCCACAGTGGGTAATCAGTCTGTCATCCCTGGGGTTGAGACCACAGCCACAGTGGGTAATCAGTCTGTGATCCCTGGGGCGGAGACCACGGCCACAGTGGGTAATCAGTCTGTGATCCCTGGGGCAGAGACCACGGCCACAGTGGGTAATCAGTCTGTGGTCCCTGGGGAGGAGACCACGGCCACAGTGGGTAATCAGTTCGTGACCCCTGGGGTAGAGACCACAGACACAGTGGGTAATCAGTTTGTGATCCCTTGGCCGGAGACCACAGACACAGTGGATAATCAGTCTGTGATCCCTGGGGAGGAGACCATGGCCACAGTGGATAATCAGTTTGTGATCCCTTGGCCGGAGACCACAGACACAGTGGATAATCAGTCTGTGATCCCTGGGGAGGAGACCATGGCCACAGTGGGTAATCAGCCTGTGATCCCTGAGGAGGAGACCACGGCCACAGTGGGTAATCAGTCTGTGATCCCTGAGGAGGAGACCACAGACACAGTGGGTAATCAGCCTGTGATCCCTGAGGAGGAGACCACAGCCACAGTGGGTAATCAGCCTGTGACTCCTGGAGGGATGGATACAACTCTTGTCTATCTTCAGACTATGACTCCCAGTGAGAAGGGAACTTTGAGGAAGAAGGCTGTGGTCCTTGAAAAGATCACTGTTCCCCCTAGAGAGATGTCCGTTGCCCCTAATGGGCAGAGCACAGCTCTAAAGTGGGAGAGATTGATTACTGAAGTGGAGACTCACCCCCAGGATGGATAAATTGGTCTTCATGTAGCAGCGGAGAACAGAATGCTGTCCTCCAACACTGTTGTCCTGTTCCCAGGATACGCTCCTTTCTCTTTTGAAAATGGCTTCACTCTTACTGATGGAAACCACTGCTTTGTCAACACCATAGCCCTTCTAACAAATCTCCTCTCTCTTACAAAAAGAACACCTAGAACACTCTGTTACAGATCAAAGATCATGAGCTCCATTGGTGGCAAATCCCCGGGAAAAACCCTTGTTTTTTTTCTTCTATGTGATATGACAGAAGTCACCTCATGCTGCCACCTATGAACCATTTGTGGGGCAAAGCTGGCACCAAAGCCACCATGGGGCAATCTCATTTTTGTCTAATAAACTGGAAGCATGAGAATCTTCCTGTGGTCTTTGCAATTATTTTATTTTTTCTTTATGTATATGTGTGTGCCTGTTTTATTTATGTATATGTGTGTGTGTGTGCCCCACACATGCGTGTCTGGGGAGGTTGGAAGAGGGCACTGGCTTTCTTGGAACCAGAGTTAAAGGAGGTTGTGAGCTGCCTGGCGTGGGTGCTGCAAACCCAGTTCTGGGGGGTCTACAAGAGCAGCAAGTACTTTTAACTTCTGAATGGTTTCTCTAGCTCACTCTGAGATTCTTAAAATGATGTCAACAAACCAATTGTCAGCTTCCTTCTTTCAAGGTGAATTTCCTCCATTGCTGGTTTTGGAAACATCTTTGAGTCTAGTCTACAGTGATGTTTCCCTTTGTACATAATGGGTTTCCTTCTCTAACGTGAGCACCCACACACATCACTGGGGACCAGAGCCAAAATCTATCTCTTCTAGAAAGGTTTCTCATAATCCTCAAGGGGAGCTGTGAGGAAGAGGGAGAAAATGAATTTTCCAAGGGCATTTTCTGTTTGGGGAATTTTATTTGTTCCTGTAAAAAACACTCTCACTTACTTTCTCCTCAAGAAGACGTTGAAAAACAAAGCATTAATTTAAAACTATTTTAATAGGGGCTGGAAGAATGGGTCAGCAGTTAAGAGAAATGGCTATTCTTCCGGAGAATAGAATTTTGTTCCCAGAATCCAGACTTAAAACTGTTTCTAATTCCAGCACGAGGTTATTTGATGCCCCCTTCTGGCTTTTGGGCACCAGGCACACACAGAGCACAAAAAATATATTCAGGCTCTTCATGTGAGTTCCTGGCTTATACTCAGGTTGTCAAGTTTATGTGTCAAGCCTATTTATGATTGGATCCATCTCCCTTGCCCATCTCTGTGGTCTTAATACAACATGTCAGTCTCCAGAGCTTTCTCCTTAGATATGGCTTAGTGCCCATACAGCGTAGATTCTGGGAAGAGTTTTCCTTGGGAAGCAAGCAGTAATTCATTCAAAGCAAGCCATCATTAAGTGGGAAAATGTGAGCTGGGAGTTTATTTAGAATGATTAGATGGCATTCTGAAGTCTCTGGATCTAAGTGCCACTAGTTGGGCACCACTTTGTGGGAAATGGACTCTATTTTGCTGACTTCCTATGATACCAAGGAAAATGTATAAATCTTGAGTCTGTGAACTATGATAATTTTTAAAAAAGCTTGAGTAGCCAGGGTTTTACCAAGGCTAGATTAATAACGTATCAGAACTCCAATGATAAAAGTTAAAACTCTGAATTTTGAAGTCGTAACATCATATGTATCATATTTAAGTCTCATTTTTTTTTCACGTACCTTAAGTCACTTCCTCAGACCTTTACAATTTGCATAAACTTTAAACTTTTCCTTTTCCTTCTGGAAACATGCACTCATTTACTATGAGACATAGGCGCTTGATTACTGAGAGCAGTCATTGAAAAGCAAGTTTTTTTTTTTTAAATGAAAGTAAATAAGTAGCAACAGCATGGTTGGTTGAATTTGTCTTTACACTGAAGCCTGTTTTGTGAGTTTACCTTTCTCAGCATAAAGCCTGCCAGAAAGGTAAACCTGTCTGTGAGTTTGCATTTATCAGCAGGAGACCTAGTAGGTCTAGAAAAAGCAAGACCTGATTTTTACCTATAAAATGGACTGGCCTGGCAGCTGCAACGTTTGTGGGAGAATCTGGCTAAATCTGCTTGCTGCTGTTAAACTGGTAAAACAGGACAAACCATCAACACCATCACTGAGATCTGAGAAGGCTAAGTCTGAGTAAGAAGTATAAACCAAATGACTTCTGTAACAAGTAGAACGACAGAGATCTGCTACTTGGACAGCCAGCCTATGGTCCTCCATGATGATCTGGATGGCTTTGTTTGGGGTAGAGGTCTTCAGTCTTTGGCTGTCAGACAGGACAGCACTAAGTCTCTGGCTGCCACACAGGGTAGAATCAGCCTTTGGCCCGGAAGTTCTGAGAGATTTTCTTGTGTAAGATGAACTTGGGGAAAGTGACCTACCTTGGCAAGTCAGAGTAGGGCAGTCCACCCAACAGTTGTCTACTGTTTGGGTGGGGCCTGGGTGGTGGCCTAGGTATGGGGACAGTTCTTTGCCTAGTGGCTAGGGTGACCATATTCAAAGCAAGGCATAGATGGAGTCCTTTGCTGTCCATCTTCTTTGGAGTTAGCCCCAGTGCTGCTACCAGAAGCTGATATTTTTGTCTATCAAAAGGTGTTAGGTCCCAAGCAATTCCATTTCCCAAAGTCTGGCATTTAGATAAAAGTCAGCATTCCCTCGGACATATGGTTCTTCTATCAACCTATGCCTATGTTGCCTATTAGCATATCAAGGTTTATGCTAGCCTCTAGGCTCCGTATGTCCCTCAGTCCCTACTAACTTGAGTGCCTATTTCAGAATCATCCTGTCTGGCATACCCCATCCCCTACCCTAAATCTCTCCAGCCCTGAGCTTCACTGCTTGCCTCCCTTCTCTTCCCCATATAACTCAGCCAGTTAGCTCTGTGCTTTCTCAGTTCTGCTCTTCACTCCGCTCCTTGGCCTCTCTCCATCCGTTTGCCTGCTCTCCTCTTTCCTCTCTCTTTTCCTCTCTGCTCTCAACACCTCCTCTCATGGCCTGGTCTATTCTGCTGGCCATGTTCAGTCTGGACTCTTCTGGATTCTTCTGGCTGTTCCCTTCCTCGAGGCTATGATAAAAATCTTCTGGACCATACCTCATTTTCATTCACAGGGGAGGGACTGAGTGCTGTTATCCAATCTATTAAGTATACCTGATTTCAAACAAACTTTACATTCTTTTTTACTTGCTTTGGGCTCAACTTTCACATATGCAGAAGGCTAAAACTTGTCCCTGCAAATGAATTGTGTTTGTATTTAGCATGACTACAAGCTTTAATGTTCTGAGTACATTAAAGAATCTATCTGATCATTTATAAAGTGACTGACCATTAACTTGTACGTCTCAATTACCTTTAATGCTTTACAACAAATTAGTAGCTTTTTAATAAGATTAGGATTTTACAATTTTATCTATTAAGTTTGAGCTTTAAAAGTTTGAATTGAAGGTTTAATTGAAATTCTTTATTATCAAAATCAAACTTTAAACCATAAATACAGCACATAGACTGGGAACCTCATCTTTCTGCTTTTTAACAGTATAATAATATCTTTTATAGAATATTACAATTTTTTCATATGACTCAGTTTCTCTAAATAGTTAAAACTTAACAAAGTTAGCAAAGACAAAGGCTAGACACGTGGAGGTCAGAAGCAACGTGCAGGAATTGACTTTCTTTTTCCACTGTGGGTTGTGGGGATCAAACTCAGGCCATCAGGCTTGTGTGACAAATACTTTTACCTGTTGAGCAATATCACCAGCTTCAGTACCTCTTACTACAGAAAGTACTAGAATAACAGGGTCCAGAATGGACTGTTCTATACACACACACACACACACACACACACACACACACACACACGAAAATTTATACACAGCCTGGAAATGCTGTTGTTTTGTGATCCTCTCACAAATCTTTTGAACTTCTGAATTTTCAGAGTTCAAAGTAAAAATGAGAGATACAACAGCAAAAACCTAGTACCATTCATTAATCACGTACATGTTCTTTTCTTTAAATGAAAACCAAGCTAATTCTGTGCAGGTGTGAATGTGTTGCAGAGTAAGTGGGGAGTGTAGCTGTCTAGGTTCCAAGAGTGTGGGTTTCTTCATCTCTCTTGTCTGTCTGTAGAAGGTATTTGATGGCAAGATTGATCATTGTTCAGCATGGCTGCTGGAGGGCCTGCTCAAGGTAATAGGTGAAGAAGAAACCTACAATCAACCTTACTAAAGTAAACATGGAGGAGAAATGGCAGGGATTCTGCTCATGACTGTCTTGGTGCAGAAACAAAGCTCGGATGCTCCGTATGTCCCTCCTCAGTAACACATCAGCTGGGTTATCTGGCGTGATGCCTGGGGTTTTCCCAAGCAGGCTCCACCACTGCCCTAGTCTGTGCAGGGACAGGATGTTGATTGTGCAGAGTGTTTGTGGAAGCCTGCAGGTTTCTTCTTTGGTAAAAATGTTTGCCAGGAGGTCTAGGATTTTTTTTTTGTACAGGGATTCATATTCTCTCTGTCACTTAAAGATGTTCAATAATCTTGCTGCTGGGATGAAAACATCACTTGTTTCTACAGCTCAGCATGGAGTTCTGGAGGCACTGGATGTAGTCAGGTCCTGCACATTGGCCAAGATCTAGACAGAGCAGAAGAATCTAAGTATGTCAGGAAAGTGATTAACAAAGTTGCCAATTTGGATGGGGACATTCTAGAATGAATGTAGTTTAATATTGCACATATAGCAAGAGGGGAAGTCAGGCTTCTTATTTCAGGAAAAAGGTATATTCTGTTCCTGATTTTCCTGAGACTCCTACACAAAGTTCCATGCTGTTTTCCCCAGCATCATCATTTGCTTAGGACTTTGTCCTTGTCTCCTCTGCTTCTCATTGAAGATGTGGCTGCCTTCTCATTCCATCCCCACCTAATATGAGAAATTCTAGGCGATATAATGAGAGCTTATTAGTGAGCAAAACAGGCAAAATATAATTTAATCTTTACAAGTAATTTATTATTATTTTTATTCTGTATGAGGTGTGTACATGCTACCGCATGTGTGTAGAGGTCAGAGGACAACTTGTGGGAATCAATCCTCTTACATCATTTGGGTCCTGGAATCAAACTTAGATGGTCAGGCTTGATGGCGGGGACTTTCACCCATTTAACCACCTCACTGGCCCAAAATACGTGTATTTTCATAGGACATTTTGGAGTCCTACCACCTTCTCCCACTTAGATAGTTGGCTCTGTAACTAAAAAGTGGGAGTGGAGACAGTGGAGCAGAAATACAAATTTGATGGCTTGTTCTTATGTGCTTGTGTGTGCCTTCTCCATGGAAGCCTCCATTAAATGCAATGGTGACA